GATACCGTACGTAAGTAATTTGTATCGAACAAAAGTGATATACAAGTTGAGGGGTTCAAGGCAGCAGGGGCCCTCGTAACAAATCAATGGGTGGTATGGAGTTCTCCCTGTTTCCTACAATGCATGATGTGCGCACGTGCGTATGTGTGTGTGTATCAACTAATCATTTAGGCAGTACAGTTGACTTAGCCTGGTACAATTGGAAGAGGTTCATGTAGAGGCTGGCGAGAATATGATTCGTCAACAGTCGTAGTGCATGAGTCTGGATGAGATGTGATCCATACTTGATGGGAAAAAGTGATGAGACAAAGATGTAGTGTTGCATAAAGAGGCTATTTTATGTTGTTATAAACTGTTGGAATGGGTCCATACAGTCTTACTCACTTATCGTGAGTCATTAACCAAGTGTGCACTATTTTTGTTGTTGATAGAAATGCTCGGAGAAGTGTGACAAACCAGACGCTGTCACTTATGGAGCCTGCAACAAAGTGACCTGCCTACAATCTGTGCGGTTGACCAAATACCGTGAAGTGCAGGGTAATTGCGTTCCCTTCTTTTCGGTTGCCAATAGTGTCTGCTGCCTGCCCAAAAATAAGGTGACCAAGACCTGCGACAAGAGGACAGGACAGTTGGTCACCAGGACAGTGGAGTACAGCCTGAAAAGCAGCTTGATCCTTAAGTCTTTAGCGCGCAAAGTCTCTGTTGATTCCAAAAGACCGGTCTGCAATCCGGTAGTCGTGAGTGCAGAGGCCTGTAACAAGCTTAATCCTAGCACAAAACGAATAACATCAACCATAAACAGACTTAACACCGCAACATGTGCCTGTATCCAAGTTAAACAAACGCACAAGGAGGTACCTTGTACGTGTCCCCCGCCGAGGGTTGAAGGACCAAAATGCTTCAAAGACTCAAATGGGCGTGAACAGTTCGGCATCCAGACCACAAATTTCAGTCTGATCAAGGAGCAGTGTATACCCAACAGAGTGTTCGAGGTGAAACCGATAAAGTGCGCCATGCAGAAGATCACGAAGTCGGCTTGCAGGTCGTGTAAACGGAGTGTTGTCAAGACGTATCATGAGCCGAAAGGCTGCAAGTGCATCAAACGCCAGATAGTAGAAAAGGAGGCTTGCTGCTGTCCAAAAGCGGTTGTGAAATATCGATGCAAACAGGACTCGAACATGGAAGCTGAGGAGATACAAAATGTGCTTAAAGAAGGAAAGTGCGTGAAAGTGATAACAACTAAGTCAAAACCCTTATGTAAGTACATATATCACTCATTATCACAAAGTAGCTGGATATATCCATTTATATGATATTAACTTAATTGTATGGTGCTTGATGAACAACAGTCTAAGTTTCATCTTCGAGGTACAAGATGCATGTATAAGGCGAATACATCAGAGATTCAAGGAATTGACCTGAAAAGGTCTCATAAATGGCACGGATACTACTAAACAACATTACAAATTCTTTGAGCCTTAGCACAAATGAGAATTAATCATAATAAAAATAAAGTCGCCCTGAATCACTCGAGGGGCTTTAGGTGATAATATTAGAGTATATATGGTGAAAAGCCGGATTTCAAAGAATCCCTTCGTGACTTATTCTGTGAAGGGCTTTCATTTTTCAGGGAAAGTTGGTTGGAAGGAATTCGTGAATTGGTCTCACCGAAAACAGAGTAAAGATTGCCTCGGAGTGAAGGCTATTGGAAATTTCTCCTTCAGTTTTCGATGAGACCCATTCTTGAAGTCCTTCCGACCAATTATTTCTCCGAAGTGAGGGGTCATATCAGAAGAAGTCACAAAGAGATTCTTTAAAACTCGGCTTTTCGCCATTGTTTAAAGCCCCTCAGGTGATTTAAGGTGACTTGTTTTTTATTACGATTAATTGTCATTTGTGCTAAACCTCAAGGAATTTGTAATGTTGGTTAGTGATATCAGTGCTCATATAAGCTCTTAGCTTTGATCCGTCATTGTCACGTTATCATAAACCTAAGCCAGTAGTGGCACCCTTTCCAGTTCATTCTGATAAATCTTTATAATTTTACATAAATCGGACTTAAAAGATGACACTTTGAACTTTCAACCCACATTTCCTTCGAAATGACAAGTTAAAGCGCAAAAGTATCGAAATTTTTCCCACAATAATATGAGTGAGCTTCATGCAACCGCCAAAGTTTACTTGACATTGCCCTCCTAAATGTACTCTCACATTGGCAGGATTGCAGTTGTAACCTTATCTTAGCTTTATCAGCACCATTAATGGGACTCGAAGCTGTGACACATTGTCATTATCTCACAGCCAAGAGTGCCAATAGTTCAGAAGATTACTACGCTTTCTCGTAAAGTATGGTTTTTCGCTCTTAGGATATCTGACCGGCAGGACGGTCAGCCGAGGACATTTTCGCACAATCTAACGATCTCTACAGAAAGGTAATCCTTATCCACCTTTCACTGAGACCACTAAGGAAGCCCTTGCAACCAACTTTGACCTCAAAATAAAAAGCTGATTCACATAAACTCAGCATTAAACTTCTGAAAAATCAGTATTTCCATATACTAACTAAAAACGTGTTGAATTTCGAATTATGTTGTACATAGTATATTGCAAATGTCACCTCTGAATGCGTAAATAAATGTCTTAGTCACTTCTTCCTGTTGCTAAAGCCGGGAAGAGATGATTTTCGAGCAATCCCTTGAGTCCACCTTTTTAGGCTCTTTATTTTTCAAAGAAAAGCCTACAAAAAAAGATTCGTAAAGGTCCTTCCCATCAGAAGAGGAAGGTAGACCCCTATTAAACAGCCTCAGTAGAACATTCAGATTGACACTATCCTCGAATAAATCTTCTTCCATTCATTCGTCCTTATTGGACGAGAACTGTCCATTTCCGTGCCATACTACCCCTTATTTGTACATACAGCGCTTCAATCTAAGCATAATAGAAAAAGGGACGTAGATGTTCCTCGATGTCTTTGGTACCTCCCGCATGCCAATTAAAGACCCGGCTATTTGTATCATACGCTTTTTCACTTCACGTAACTTTCTTCTATGCCGAATTCGACCGTGTGAACTTTGAACTTTTGTAAGAACTAGAGCCTCCTTACATCGATGGAAGGTGTGATAGATGAAATGTAAAGGTTTCAAGATGCCATTGCACTCCAGCTAGAAATTCTTCTTAAATGACCCTCCCATTTATGCGGAACCACCGTTTCGACTAAGCCTCAGCCTCATCAACACCCATGACGGGGTGAAAAAAATCTTCTTGTGTGCAAAACGTGTTTGGCTTTGTGGTAACGTGCCGTGAATATAAAATGTACTACACATGCTTGATTCACATTGGAGTGCTGATGCAGCATAGGCGAGGTTACAATGGTAGTCCAATCCTGCCTGGAAAATAATACCCTTTAGGAAGCAAGGGGATGTGAAATTAAATGAAAATTTGAGGCCTACTTATCAGATTGTGGGAGAATTCAACTACCATCTCTACTTATCTCCTTAAATGAAATAGAGTGAATATGGCGCTTGCATAAGATCTATTGGTGGTCTCGAAAACCTACTTAAGCTCTTAAAATCCTGTCCAAAGTCTTCCATAAGTCATTCAGTAAAATTTTTTAATACATTTTCTTAATAAGCATTGAGTATACTTCTCCAAGGTACAATTCTAATGTCACATTATATCATTTTTTTAACTTTCAGACTGCAAATCTCTAGTGATCAAGAAGTCGCCCTGTTCTAAAAACTGCACACGATTCGTTAAAACGCTGAAGTACACGCATAAAAACTGTTCCTGCAAACTCATTAGCACAACGGTGAGACAGGATAAGTGCTGCTGCGCTCCCCCAAAAAACACCGAGAACTGCATAAACGGTCTGCTAGTGACAGTGTCACAAAAAGAGGACCTGGTGAAGGGGAAATGCCTAAATTCCACTCAGCGGACCAATAAGGTTCCAAGTAAGTCCGAAGAGACAAGCCCGGATGGGAATAGCTTTTGGGATAGCAGAGCTATGTGAGTTTGAATAGAAACGTAAAGTGGGAATATTCAGACGAATACATTTCGTATGTGTGAAAGCAATGCTCTTAACAAAAGGAGATACTGTGTCTAAATTTTATTTGGAATTCTAGCCCAGATCCCACTTACCAGGAATTTCACACTGCCCTAAACATTCCATGAAGTGGACCGACATTGGCTCTAGCTTTTGCCTTAAAACGATAGTGATCCAGCCCACAATGGACTGGGGAGAATACTTATATTCGGCTATGAATTTCACTTAATAATGTCATCAAAAAGCCGTTATCATCA